CGCGCCAGGCGTCAGCACGCCGCGGTCACTCCCCGGCCCGGCTCTCCCGCAGGCACCCACCTCCGTGGCCTCCCACAGCGGCTTCGGCAGCGGCCCGGGGACGCTCAGCACAGTGTCTTCTCTCAGCGGGCCGGGGAAAGGCGCTGCTTCGGGAGAGGAGTGTGGCGGTCACGAGGCTGGCGGGCGGCACCCCGCGGCACACCCCCTCTGCGCGGGCGACGCGGTCTGTGGACGGCCGCTGGCCGCCTGCCGGGGAGGTGCCGGCGTCCGGGCGGGTGGGGACGGAGAGAGGGGCAGCGGCCCGGGAGCTGAGGGCACAGTCCGCCTGGCGCGGAGCTGGGGACGAGCGGCCTTGTGGCCAGGCACTGGGCAGCGCGAGAGGCAGAGGGACAGTGAGGGAAAAGGCCACGGGGAAGCAGGGCCCTCTGGCATGCGGGTGCCAGCTGCGGGGTCCGGGCCAGGTCAGAGGGCCTGCGGAGAGGGCCGGGGGGACGGGAGAGGAGGCAGAGGCCTGGACAGGCCACTGCCTGTTTCCTCAGAGCAGCTCGGCTCTGCCGGCCTTTGCACACCGGCACTGGCTGGGGGTTCTGTGGGGAGTTCACTGGGGAACAAAGAAACCTGAAGCTTTTCCTGGCAGGGGCCTGGCGGGTTCTGGCTGCTCACGGCCTGCCCAGGCACTGCAGGCGGCCAGCGCTGGGCCTTGGTGCAAACGGTCCCAGTGGCCCCACTAGTCCTCCCGGGGGTCACGCGCAGCCGACGCGTGGCTCACTTTCGGGTGCTGAAAGTGACCTTTGGGGGTGCGGGGCGCGCGGGCCCGGCCTTGGGCCACTGGTCCGGCGGCGGTGTGGCCCGGCGCGACCGGCTGGCCTGGCCCCTCGCCGGCCTGGTCGCTGGGACTCAGGCTGAGCGGCGGGAGCGCTGACCGCCACCCAGGGAGCAGCTGACCGTTTAGGGGTCCGCCCAGGGGACCAGGCGCCCCCCGCCCGCGGCCTTCCCTCCACAGAGCCTCGGGAAGACGCCAGCCCAGCCCGGCTCTCCTACCTTCGCCGGGGACGTCACTGTCGCCGTCGCAGAAACCTGCGGGAAAGAAGAGCGTGGCGGTGCTCCCTCCCGCCGCGCC